TTTCTGATCTGTCTCGATTGTAGTGCACATCGAGAAACCTATAAAAAACTAGTTTTGGGGTTTTGTAAAGTGTATTGCTTCCTCAAAAAACCTCAGCGTACGGAAAAGAGAAGAAAAGTCCGTCCGGCGGACTGGAAGGGTTCCAAAATTCTGAAAACTAGTTTTTTATAGGTTTCTCGATGTGCTCTACAATCGAGACAGATCAGAAAAAAGTTTTGAAACAAAAAGTTTCTGGCTCTGGAAACCTGGTTTCCCAGAAATCCGGTACTAGGCCCGTCTCATGCCGATATTCGGATTCAGCACTATTTTTTACCTATACTCCACTAGATTTCATTAAAAAAATGATTGGTCAGTTACATATGTTCCCTCGTTAGTACGAAAATACAGGAATTTTTCACATGTGCAGCAAAAGTGATAGAAAAAAGCCTTCGGGAAATAGCGAAACTGATCTACCCTTACCATTAAACGATAGTGCATTGATACAGATCGCCATTGATAAGCAAGCGATAAGATCTATCTAATATTCTGATATTTTTAAAAATAGTAAAATGTTCCTTTTTGTGAAGTATACTTACTTAGAGCTGATTTGTATGTGAATTTTGATTGTTCACATTTTGTTGAGAATTATTCTGATAGGTTAGCACGAACTTCAGATATTCATCGTAGTTATTACATACAAAAATATTGCCATCTTAACATTCGTCTGAAAAAGTTAAACAACTAGTTCCTGACGGATACACTCTACCGTCTCGTTTAGATAATTTTTGAGCAATGATATCTTCTTTAAGTAATGATCAAGTATTGCTGATAACAGCCGGCTATGATCGTACAATTCGCTTTTGGCAAGCACATACTGGTTCAGTATGTCGAACAATTATGCACGAAGATTCGGTATATTATTTTGAAATTTTAACACTAGGTATTCTCTAAATGATTTCTCTTGTTTGGCTATTTATTAGCCCACAAATTGTTTATCAATATTTCCAGACAAAACCCTACTGGCAGCCGGAAGTATGTAGAATTTTTATTATCATCTGTGTCATACACTAATTGATATTATTGGTATAGGTTATCAGCATATAAAAATGTATGATTTAATATCAAATAATCCAAATCCAGTTATGAAATTAGATCAACTACAGAAAAACATTGTTACTCTAGGCTTCAGTGATGATCGTCGATTTATGTATAGTGGAGGAGAGGATCAATTGGTTCGAGTATGGGATATGAGGTCAGTGATCTCTCTAAATTATTACTATTCGAAGCACAACTTTGATTGTTTTACAGAGGATCAAAAATGAAAGCATCTCGTCAAATGTTAGCTAGCGCATCTGTTAACTGTGCAACAATTCATCCAAATCAAGTACGAATCGTTTACTCGTTATTCAATAAAACATGCCTCTTCGTTTAGGTTGAATTGTTCATTGGTGATCAAGATGGTGCAATTTATCGTTGGGATATTGCAAATGAAAAACAAGAGAAACATGTTATTCATTAGTTTATTTGTATCTTTAGAACTTAGAATATTTTCGTGTTTTTTTCAGGTAATTGATCAGAATAACCCAAGTGCAATACGTTCATTAACAATAAATAGTGAAGGAACAATGATGGCAGCTGTTACAAGTAGCGTAAGTTTAAAATTAAAACTCATTTGTGACGTAATGGCCTGCTTTTATTTTAAAACTTTGTTTATAGGGTAATTGCTATATCTGGTCCTTAACGGGTAGTTTCGGTGAAAAAATGGCTCATACAAAATTAGTAAATCGCACATCATTCACAGCTCATAAACGTTATGCTTTGAAATGTCTGTTTAGTCCCGATATGACGTATGTTTTTGTTGCACCTATCTATAAGTTCAAGTTTTTAGACCTTGATAACGTTTCATTGATGCTTTATGACTATTTTAAAAACCGCGTCAAAATTTGTCTTCAAACAGCATATTCACGTATTTCAATTCTCGTGGTCTTCGTTCTAAATCAATTATATACCAGTCGAGCGAGGAGAAAAGGCCGGATAAAATGTGCTACTTTAACTCAAAAATTAGGCATGCATCGCTTTTCACGCATTCTGATGTGCTGACAAATTTCGCTTAGACATAAATCAATGACATTACTCCAAGGGGGAAACAGCGATTTTGGTATGTAACATGTATTTCGGTATTTAACCAGTATTTTGGTACACTTCCAAGAAGACTGTTTGTTTGAATCTATCGGTGAATTCCCGTCGCTTTGTTTTTCTGCAAAAACATAAAAATTGTGCAAATAAACTTCTCGTAATAGTTTTCAGTACCGAAAACTTCTGGGCTAAAATATCTAAAGAAGTATAATTCACCTGATACCAGTCGTGGGACTCCAATAAAATCTGTATAGAAGATACTGTTACAAACAGGATATTTTCTTCTGTACTATCTGACAGTCCTTCAGTGGAAGACCGTAAAAAACTGAATAAAATGCACATTTCAGTTATGTCTACTTTTTAAACACAAATTCAATTGGTATTTGGGTATGTGAGTGGTGTGTACATACGTAGTATGAATGTGGTGAATACAATTTTCTATGAAGGATAAATTTAAATATCTAAAGAATTCAACTGTCAAATACGTGTTATATCTGCGCTACTCATGCCCTACATGTCTTCTTTGACATCAGAAAGACTAATTTATTACGAAACAAATCATTGCTGCATAATGTTTTAAACAAGCTGTTGCTTGACATAAATTGTAGCAGTACTCATTAAAACTCATTTTTAAACAGTCTGCGGGGATTCCTTTTCGATGTTAAATTTGTATTTTGTAAAGAATTGTCTTTTCTACACTCCAGTTTTATTTTTAGTCCTGCTAGACTTGACCGCTTTATGGTAAATTTGGTTAGAAACTGAATTTTTAACACAACTAGAACTGAGACATAATTTGATAGACAAACATGTGAAAATAAAATATATGCTTCGATCGGGAATCGAACCCGAGATCCTCTGACCACAGACCAGAAGCTTTAACCACTGAACTGCCGACGCAGTATCTAATATATACACTTTCAATTCACATGGATGATTTAACTCTCAGAGTGTCTAATAGTGATGTAGTATCCCTGGTACAAAAAGTAGTAGTACTGCCAACCTCATTACAAGAGTATATAACCTCTCGAGGATTTGTTATACCTGTTATTTAGCCGCTGAGTTGGTATAAACATTGGTCTTTTAAGTTTTTTCACTTTAATTTTTGGACTGAAAAATAGTACATTTTATCGTGTCTTTTCTCCTCGTTCGACTGATATATAATTGAATCGGAACGAAGGCCAACGAGATGTATAAGAATTAAAATACGTGACTAACTTCTAGTCCATCGACTATCTGTTGTTTTCAGTCTATTAGCCACAACATCAGCTGATCAAACGGCTAAAATTTGGCGTACAGCTGATTTTTCATGTCAATGTGAATTAAAAGATAATCACCAACAATGGGTATGGGATTGTGCATTTACATCCGATTCACAATACCTGATCACAGGTAAGTAGAACCGGGTGAACCAAATTTTTGTACTCGCCTCTGATAGTAATAATGGGTCAAAGTGTCGTACTGATACTCATACCCAATGCTTAGTCCTCAAAGTACTCATAACAATACTCGAGTACGTTGGAAAAGAAAAAGATGTATTGGTTAAAAACTGGAAGGTAAAATGGAAATATGATCAATATTCGGTGTGACGATATTCGTTTCCTGTGTATATTGCGACTGCGTTGCTTCACGAAGTCATTGTCACATAGAGTAATTGGGGCTTACCATACGAACATGTAAATTATTGCATATTCAAACTGTTTTATGACTTCAGTCTTGACCTCACTAATGCTAACGTTCTTTCTCAAGAACTGGAGAAATCTGAAAAACAATTATTTCAAAAAACTCGCCTTCAAATGGAGATCAAGGCTAGAATTTTTACGAAAAAAATGTTTCTCTCTTAAAAATCGTTCGATGGAGTTTCACGCGCTGTTTATACGTCGCATATGCCATTTGTTTTGATTAAAAACATATTTCTAGCAGAGAAAAATGGATTTTACGTGAAAAACCTGCTATGAAGTATAAACAAAAAGTTACATTCACTGGAAGTCTACGAGACCTAGGAGAGCATATGAAAAATCTTCCAGTATTAAAGAATACTAGGGAAAATAAAAATTCCCATGTATTAAAATTTATTCTCTTTAGTAAAGAGTAGTAACTTACTGTAAAAACTCTTTATTGTAAGTTAACGGCCATAAACAGAAAAATGTGTGTTCGGCACAAGATGGCAGATGCGTAGAAAGAAATCTAAAAAAATCCTTCGTACCAAAAATTCTCGTGACGTCAGTTTAGGATGGTACCGGAAGGAGCTTATACTTACCTCAAGTCTACTATCTGTTTCAATGAATAACAAACTCCGATGTTTTGCTTATATCTTTTGAAGGAAAAGAGCTACTGATCTGCGGTTTTCAGATTCTAAAAAGTAAATGAATTTGTCTACAAAAATATGCTAAAAGCAGATTTTCTGAGAGTGTTTTCATTAGAAAACTTAGCCCAGCAAAGTCGGAAAACCCAATTTTTTTCGTTTTGTTGATTAGTCTAGACCTGTGAAGCGTCCTCTTTTCAAATCAAGTTTCTATCACTTAAGGTTCGGGAGATACAGACATTTTTCGAGGACACATCCATCTCGTTTCAGACACGTCTGGGAATCTCAGAAACATGTCGATCATAGATAATCGGTCATACAATGCGGAATCTGAATCGGATCTGAATTTTGGTTCTGTGGAAGGTTTTTCAGAGATCTACTAAAAAATCATATGCACAAACTGAAAATTCTATGTATTTTTTTCGACTTGTTCTACAGTCTATGACCTATTCTGAGCACTTTCTGAAAATCTGAGTCGTTTTGAACGAGAAATGAGTGAAATTTACGGTTTTTAATTTTTGCGGTAACAGGCGAAAAACCGGGTTGTCATTAGATTGGTTTTCCTGAAGTTGTGGTTGGGTGAAGAAAGAAACGAACATCTACACGATGATCAGCATGGTCGATTACCTATGATCCACATGTTTCTGAGATTCCCAGATGTGTCTGGAACGAGACAGATATGTGCTCCGAAAACGTCTGTATCTCCCGAACCTTAAGTGATAGAAACTTGATTTGAAAAGAGGACGTTTCACAGGTCTAGACTAATCAACAACATGAAAAAAATTGGGTTTTCCCAAAATTTGAAGAGTTTTTCGACTTTGCTAGGCTAAGTTTTCTAAGGAAATCGCTTTCAGAAAATCTGTTTTTAACATAGTTTTGTAGAAAAATTCATCTAGTTTTAGAATCTGAAAACTGCAGATCAATAACTCTTTTCCTTCAAAAGATATAAGCAAAACATCGGAGTTTGTTATGCATTGAAACACATAGTAGTTTGTGAGATCTCTAAAGGCTCTCCAGAGAATCCCTATATTTGCTGCCAATTGTCGAGCTGGTTTCAGCCTACAAGAATAGGTAAACGTGATATCTGATCTCTGGACATTAGAGATGTTTAGTTGTCGTTTCCAAGTACTGGAAGACTGGTGATTCCTTATGAAAAACCTAATCGAGGTTCTCGTGTTATAAGCTTTATTGAAAGAGAGAGTTAAAAAAGATCACTATAATAATGAGGAGAAGGAGGTAAACCCATTGTACCTTTATATCATTGATGCGGACTAAGGACAGGACAAGAAATACATATAAAACTAGAGATAAGGGCAACATAAAAAAGCAAAATAAAGACAACAAGAGAACAAAAAATTAACTTCTCTTATTTTCTTCAGCGGAAAATACCGACCATCTGAAGAGTCTTCTGAAAACATAAATAAAAAACAATCAGAGAGTTCAGTGACTCATGGTATCGAAGTTATAGCACAGCTTGATTACTTCTCTCATTCATAAGAAGCAATAATCGTTTATAATGCGTTTCCAGTGAGACTAATGACTCACGTTGGTGAAACTAACCAAGGTTACTAAAGTGAGACCGATTACGGTTACGCTAGAGGAATGGTCTAAAGGCTATAGATCTGAAAGTTCGGTTCTCTAAGTCGTCGAGGACTCTAAGACGAACTCTGAAATAAATTTCTAAGTTAATTTTAATAGGGAACTATTAAGATTAGGGAAATTTTTTAAGTTAAGCTATGGCGGGAACTTATAACAGCGAATTTCAGCATGTAATCGACCGAATTAAATGCATGGCTTTTTGTAATGCTGGCGCTACTTTTATCAGCCGATGGTACACTGCCGATAAATTGAATGGGGTATTGTAACGAAAACTGGAAAATGAATCTTTTACTGATTATTCAAGCTTCGGAACACTATTGAAGCACAGTGGGGAAGAACGTGGACATTTGGTGAAAAAACGAAAGTGGGATTTTTCAAGATTTAAATAGTAGACTATATACTTCAGCAGACGCTCTATCTTTTTGCCATCGGATCATTTTTTAGAAGTGGCATCATAACTTAGAAAATCGCTAAGCAAATTTTTATCGAAAAACATAGCGATGAAGGTAGAAAATTTATTTTTATCAGAACACAATACGATATCTAGAAATAAAATACAAGCTTTAAAAGTAGACTTTTCACTTTATCCACTCGTAAAATTGTATTTTGTACGACGCATTGGAACGGAAAAAATCGATTTTCTTTCATTGCTAAGTGTTTTCCAAGGAATATACCGCAGTATACTGCATTTTCCCAAATTTCCCCAATTCCAAACTCGATGAAACTTTCAGAAAATATTCTTCTCGGTACGTTGCATCTATACAGTTAGCATAAAGATGCATAAATGTTAGCGGGCGGAGTTATGGGTTTTCCAAAAACGCCAAGCTTTTTAGAGGTTTTTTCGTTTTTTTCTGTTCCATAGCAGTTTTTGTTAAAAGGAGCGACATATTCAGAATCAACGCGAAGACCTGCATCTAAAGATCTGCGTTTGAGATATTTCTGAATAAAAACTGTTTCGATTTAGTGTAATGTGACGATTTCAGCGTATTAACATAGCAATTTTGTCTTGGCACGTGGACAAGTACTGGAAAAGCGGTACGAAAGTCTCTAAGCACTGTTTTTATAGGTTTTTGTATACGCTCTTTTCAATGACACAATCGTCAAGCTTTCAAAGTAGGTTTGTAACCAAAGTAGGTTTTTTCCAGAGATCCGATCTCTGAAAAGCCAGTTTGAACATACTTCAGAAGTTTGAAGACTGCGCCATTGAAAAGAGCATATACGAAAACCTATAAAAACAGTGCTTAGAGACTTTCGTACCGCTTTTCTAGCACATGTCCACGTGCCTAGCCAAAATTCCCCACTGTGTGAAGTTGTTACCAGAGAGCCAGTAAATTGTGATAAATGCAAGTTGCAAGCAAAAGGAGAATTTATCAATTTTAACGAAGGGCATATTAAAAATTAGACATGGAAAAGTTAGAATCAATACAATTTAAAATTATCGACATCGCGCAGAGTTACAGCCGTTTCGTATTAATTCCGAAACCAAAATACCCCATTCAATAAACCATGCAATTTATCGCCACTTTATCACCAGCTGATAAAAGTAGCTCCAGCATTGCGAAAAGCCATGCATTTAATTCTGTCGATTGCATGCTGAAATTCACTATTATAAGTTCCCACCATAGCTTAACCTAAAAATCTTCGTAACAATGATTCAAGGTTCTCAATCAGAGGGGCACACAGTGTGAAGCCACGCAGACATTTGGCTGAAAATTGAAACTGTACTTTTCCAAGATTTGAATAGTGTCAAATATACTTCGAAATATGCTGTATCGAATGTAGTCAAAAATTTTCTTCTAGTCATTTCTCTACTAGCCTGGAAATCGCGAGCTGGCCAGGAAAGTTGATATTTCTCAAAACTATAAGAACTGATAGGCAAATTAAGTACATAATCTGAATCTGCACGCCAAGTACTATACATCGGTACAAAAATTTTCAAATTTACACCTTAAGCTTACTAGAAAAAATTTCTGAACGGTTAAGTTGCGCAAAATAAGCACGCTAACGTTAGCTAAAGTCTAAAAATTCAACCAAACTTTGCCAAAATGTTCTCCTCTACCATCTTAGCGCAAATATTACTAAATACTACGACCCAGAAAAATATTTATTGAACAGTAATGACATATCTGGAGTCAGTGTACAAAACTGCATCGAATGATGTATAACATTAACATTTTTAAACAAAAAACTGTTTATAAAAAATTTGGACCAGGTTACCCCTTAGGGATACTTTCAAAAAAACATTTTTTTGCAAAGATTTTTGTTTGCTCTGACGTGACTTTCTGAGCGATAGTCAGTTATACCGAAGCGAAAAAAAATTGTTTCTGATCAAAAAAGTGATATGGGAAAAATGCAAACTGTGGGGCAGGAAGTGCTTCTCTTCCCCAAAAAAATCTTTGACGTTTTTCCACCAGCAAGTTTCTGCTAAAAATTTCGAAAACTCTTTTTCGCCAGCCACTTTCTGCGTAGCAAAATGTTTTAGCTTCTCCCGTCCCTAAGAATAATCGGAAAGACTGCAGTGATTTTATATAATTGCCAATTATATTAAAATGAACTAAACTGCACATATCCATCTGTCATCTTTAAAAATAAAAGTGGATACTATTGACCATGGTCCAACAAATCGGACCGAAAATGCGACCGTCGCTTATGCCATTACGGATCATCGACACATTGAAAATATTTTCTGAACAACATACTACCGAACACTTAATAGTGTATTTAACCTTGGTTAGTTTCACCAACGTGAGTCATTAGTCTCACTGGAAACGCATTATAAACGATTATTGCTTCTTATGAATGAGAAAAGTAATCAAGCTGAAATTCCCTGTTATAAGTTCCAGCCATACCCTAACCTAAAAATCTTAGTAACAATACACCAAGTTACATAATCAGATCGTGATGTTTTCGAAAATGCATAATGTTTGTGCGTAGACAAAGTGTTGCAACATTTTACGTTGCAGTTTAATTAAATGCATCTTTTTCTTCTCCAAACTGGATGTATCTCTATTGTAACGTTAATAAATCCCAATAGCATCAATCTACTTTTGTGTTTGAGCGAGTGCAACGGTGCATAGTTTGTGCTAAGACCCACTCCGAAAATATTTTTATCAACTGTGTATCTTTGTTTCTGATGCAGTGTCATCCGATGGGAAAGGTCGTCTGTGGTCAGCCGAAACGGGTGAAATGAAGAAGGAATATCCTGGCCATCAAAAAGCAGTGACATGCATGGCATTTGACGATAGACCGCCAAGATGACTTTATATTTTTTTATCCTTATCGGCGCATGTATTATTTTTCCATGATATTATTGCTGTTTCTGCAGTTATCTGCTGTTGGTACATACGTATTAATTTCTTCGATAAATCTTTTTTTGAAATAAAAGTATTTGTGCTGTTTCTCTGAACTTAAACCAGTTAGGTTGTTTTCAACTCACCACGATTTCTGGTTCGGCCAATAAATACCATACGGACTATTTCAACTAGCCTGACCGTTATTAAGTTCGCTACAACTGATAAACGCAATACTAAGCATCTAACATAGAGGAAAAACGACAGACATGACAAACATTACTTAGCTCCAAACTTTCTGCGTCCTTTCCCCATCTCCACGAAAAGAGCAAAAGAAAACCTACGCCTGAAAATAGGTACTGTTCTTTTATTACATCTTTTAGAATCCTTAACAAAAACAAGAAAACCGTAGAGATAGTCTAGAAAAGCTATTTTTTTGGGGGTAATTTTATGAACACTTGGTTTATTCTTTTTACCTCTTGTTTGTTGTCAAGGAGGTTGTAGCTGTTGTAGCAAAAATTGTATTTTTATTTCTTGATAATACCAGTTGAACCAATCGGTGCCACGCATGGGTAACTGTTGCAAGTAAGTCTGTAAGAAATAACAGAAAAGTGTTATGAGCAAAGGGTTATGAGACTTCTAAGATAATTCACTCACTTATCGTTTCATCTTCCAATTTTCCCTGTTGAGCCACAGGGACGCCCTTGTTGTCCATTTCCTTTGAAAAATGCTGATAATAAGGCTATGAAATTTTTGTTATGAGTCTAAAATATAGATAAAATTTATTATGTAAAAGTTCTTTGGTATATTGATCAATTGTTTGATAATTATTAAGATCAGATAAAAAATTCCAAATAGATAAATAAACAAAACCACGATAAAATGATCATTAAAGCTTGCTGTAAATTAAGAAATAAAACTACATACACAAGTACAGATACACAAATTACAAATAAAGCTGTCAAACACTTATCATAAGGTTTAATTTGTTCATTTTCGAACATAAAAATTGGCGGATATGTCTGCTGATTTCGAAGGAGAGTTGACGGTGAAGGAGGTATAAAACTATTATTTAATAACAGTCGAGATTCAGATGTAATAACTGAATTATAACGAAAAAAACCAGAGAGTAAGCAACCAAGTAGGTGCCAATTTAAATACGCACTTGTTGTGCTCCTTTTCTGACAAACCATCTTCTAAAAATAAAGAATCTTCTTCAGCCATTTACGGTTAAGATACGCAAAGACTGAAAGCTAGATTTAAGTTGCCACAATCAACGTAAACTCAAAACAAAATGTAAGATGACACTAGCGATTTAGGCCTACCTTTCAGCCCTAATGTATCTTGATCGCCATTCGCTTACTTCACTTTTTTGACAGTGTCATTGAAATACTCAGAAACCATGATAAAAAGCACTCATCCCTCCATTTTTCCACAGTTTACCACTGCATTTCCATGTTTTTCCTGCTAAAAATAGTGAAAATCGAATTTTCAATGCGCAAAACCACTTTGTTCTCACGGGGACCATCACTAATCAGAAACACTGTTTATAAAACGCAGTTACTACAAAGCTTAAGCTATGCTTAAGTATGACTTAACGCCAACTTAGTTTTTCACTTAAGTTAACGGCTTAAATCGAACTTTTTCTAGAAGTTCTATCGAAATTTTTTTATAAAAGCGGATCTACACTGTAAATTCAGTCATCTACTGATATAGGTGAAAGTCACCCACCTATGTGAGTCATAAAATGTCTCACATTGGTGGGTGACTGCCAATCACCAATACAGTTCCTATCATCCGCCAGAGGGTACAATTTCTAACCCATTTAGGTGGATGACACGAATTTGATTGGCACATATTTTAGATCAATGATATGTGTCATCAATCTGTCCGGATGAATTTTCCTTTGGTTTTTCACCAGCATGAAGAACTAATATATACAATACACAAATCATCTAGAAAATTTCTTGATATATACAGCAACTATTTTACTTTTTTAGTATTTTTCATTACATCTACTCGGGAAAGGATTACTGGAAATAATCAACATCAAAAAGTTCAAAAACAAAGGAGAATACACAAAACTTCAAGCTTCTTTTTGTTTATCCCTATTCAGAAGAGCAGTTATTTGAATTCTATGTAAAACAATAGGAAAATGTCTTCACAATTGAACGGTGAGTATTTAGTTACTCATGATGCCGAGATAGATAAAGTATTACGTTGAAACATAGAATATACGATTTACAATGTATTGTTGATTAACATTAATATTAATAAAAAAAGAACAAAAATATTTTTTCTCATTTCATATGAGAAGTCTATTAATGTTTTAATATACATAACAAAACAAAAAAATTCATATTCAAAACTGGTTTTGCATCACAAAGAAAATCATTATTTATGTGAATATCTGTTCATCTGTAGTAAGTAAAACAAGGTGAAAACAAGAAAAAAATTTTGAGAAACATGAACGTTTTTCAGAAATATTCAATCTGCACATGGAAAATATAACAAAGAAAACTACACAGTTGAATAGTACATACTGACCAACTATTTCAAATGTTTTGCTATCTGTTCATACAGATGTTTAATAGCCATTTGAATTCTTTTCGGATAATCGCATTCGAATACAGTAAATAAACATATAATAAAACGTAAAACATTTTCTAATCCACTAGATGAAAACTGAATATTTATTTTCGTTTCCAGTACTATTGTAATTTCACGTCTGTCAGAATTTTTTCCTGATAAATCTATACCCATTTCCTTTTGTTTGGCCCTAAAATATAGAACAATTGTGATCTACTATTATTTGCAACAGCATGATACATAAGTTACTTTTTAAACAGTTTTAAGAACTAAATACTCAGATTGAGATTCACGACAAAGATTATTTAAGGCTTCAATATCTAAATTTGTTTGCTAGAATGAAAAGGAGCATTTTGCTTAAAAGATAAGACAGAAAGTGAACTTAGTGTCTTTCAGTTAGACTTACTGAGGATGAAGTTCTTGGATTACATTTAGATATCAAATCATTTAATGTTCGAACTGCTTTCATTCACTGAATTCTTTCTCTTGTATGGGTTGTTATTAATTCATATTCATATGTTATCTATAAATAAGCTTCTAGATGTATGGAAAGAGCAGGAGCCGTAAATCGCCAAAGTGATATGTACTACTTGATCATGCAACAATTCGCTATATAAAACACATTTATCAGCAATTGATGATGCTGAATGTAACTTTTTTATTAAACTTCGATGTGTGAGGAATGTCATCTCTTGTAAATGTTTTGCATGTTGTAATGTACTTGGTTCAATATTTTCTAACTTTTTACATTTCAATTTTTTGATAATTTCACGTAATTCTGTCGTTAAGCGAGTAAATGTTTCATCGTATGATTTTGCTGTAGATGACAATGGTGCTGGTAAATCCTTAGGCGCAACGGTGGACGATGTGAAAACAAAAGAAAATTTAATTTAATATTAGACTATAAATTAATCAATAATGCGAATCGATTACTAGATGATGAAAACACCATTGGTTCTTGTTTTATTCGTTGTTGCTGTGAAGGAATAATAATCGGTTGTTTCAATTGTCGTCATGACCTAGAAGTAGAAATAGATTTTTTTTTATATGCTCATACATACTAAAAATGTTACAAAAACATGTTTTTATTTGTACTTGTAAAATTTGTATTTGTTTCAGATTTTAATATAGGTATCATATGTGGAATTTGAGGCCGTTCAATAATTCGTACTATTCTTGGTTGTTGTACTGACAACAAATAGTCACAAGAAAGGTTCATTTGTGCCTATGAAACCAAAAAACAGGCTATGATTCCATCGTTATATAATAGGAACGACAATATACATTCGACAAATCATCTTTTTCTACATTTGCAATGGATTGTTTTGTAAAATCGACCCGACTACGTTTAGCAACACTATGATGATCGTTTTAAAGGGAAGAAAATTGGACGCGAAATGCGGGCAAATTTGTGCAAAAGTATTTTTCGAAAAAACGGCTTTCTATAGAATCAAAAAGGAGTAAAAGGTTATAAACTTACATCAGCAGAATCTTTGTCTAAATTGCTCCTTTTTTCCTTTTCTAATTTTATTTTTGACTTGGACGTTTGTCTTTTTTCTTGGAGGTAATTTTCCAATAGATCATTTATTTTATTTTATCTTGTTCTTACTCGTTAGTGCACGTGGATAATGGAATAGATATTGATCCTTTCAAAAAAGCAGAAAATGAAACTAAAATTAAAAAAATTAGAAGTTAACCGTACCAGCTGGAAACCCGGAGCGACAGCTAAATTTGGATATTTCGACACGTTAGCAATACTAATATTTTTGTATCGTAACGAGCCATTATACGATCACGGGTTTGACGAAAAAATAATCCAGCAACAGGTTTAATATCGTTAAGGATCGTTCCCACGATATAGATAACAAATATTTCTAAAAGTCAACATCAATCTAAAAGAAACGATAACAATGAGAAGAGGTTCATACGACCAAGCTTAATTCGATGATGTACGTAACCTTTTTACACAAACAACTACTTGACAAAAGTATAAAAACACAGAACAACAATAGAAAAACTCAGTATAGTGCGGTTCATAAATTTGGAACCTAAAACGCAAAATAATGTGGATTGCACACGCATTAAGAATAAAGAAATGTTTACCTTTCAACTTCAGATGAATAGTCTACCGTATGGACGTAACGCAACATAATTATTATTATTTGAATTAACTAATTTCAGTGGCCATACATGTTTTAAATCAGTAACTACTACTGTGCCAAATCGTCCACGTTCTTGAACTTGAAAAGTTCTAATGTATTGATCATAACTTGTCATTTTAAAAAAAATGGATACCAAATGTAGGTATGCCATCAGCAACAAATATATGATCAATCTTGAACAATTCAATATTGTCTGATAAGTGTGCATTTGATGTACATAACACTGCAGCATCGGTATACCATATTGAATTTACTTTAATTTTTCGTGCAGTATGAGCTGGTAGAACCGGCAAATCCCATATTTCAAGATTTTCAGATAAAGCAGCTGTTATTGGGGCAATATCATTAAAACCTTTGAAAAACTGATGTTTCCTTTCGCTACTAAGACATTGTGTGTATTTTAATGAGCTAAAGGGAACCATTTGACGGGAAAAATGTAGCAAAAAATGATATTTTTGTTTAATAGTATCTGGCTAAAGTTTCTTCATCCAATAATTATGATGTAATATAGATTGTAGCAGCTGTTATACGGTTATTTTATCAACTTCAGATGAATAGCACAAATTAACAGTATCAAGTAATACTAACACAGCACCATGTTGTTCGCATTTTGATTGATTAATTTAATAAACGAAAAATTGATAAAAAGATGATATATTTGCATTGCATCCAACGGCATTCCTGTAAAATATAAGACGTGGTCACCACCTGACTGGCAAGCCAAATTTTCATCATATTCAAATGAGGTCTGGATGCCTTTTCATGAATATTGTAATCGAAGTTATTAACAGCATGACAAAACTGTTCCATGGTAAAATAATTCGATCGCACAGAATAATCCAAAAAAGAGTTGAGATAAAATTTACAAACATCTAAACGCAGCAGAACGTTGTGAACATAAAATAGAACAACTATACTGTTGCCGGGATTTTTAGGCAAAAAGCATTGTCTTATCCACTGATGACAAAAACCTGTGTGAGATACCCTGAAGCAGGGCGTGCATCGGGTCAAATAAAACTTTGACCGTTGGGTCAAAATGTGGTAAATTTGAAAATATGCTTCTTCTGTTGCTAAAAACCCAATGTTGTTCGCCAGAATTCGAGATAACTATTATTTCCACCAGAAGACATATTTTCAATAACAGAACAGGTGCCTTCATAATCTCACATAATTCTATGAAACCTAAAATAGCTTGGTACACAGTTTTAAAAAATAGAATAGGTACGATGGTAAGGTGCGCGCAATTCAAAAATTGAGCACTATCTTAGTTTTCGATTAGAAGCTACATATTCCGATAGCCCTGACTGAGCTAATTCCAAATATCACCTTTTTATTTGAATTCGATAAGTTTTCGGGTGGAGATCCTCAAAATACTGAGAGCTCCGAAAAGACAAAGGATTTGCGTCACTTTGAGGAAACTTGATATTTCGTCCTCTTCCTCTCACTGTAACTTTCTGAATTTGATATATTCGGATTCAACATCGAAAACTGAGTCTAATCATGTGCCTTTGAGCCACACAGAACAAAAGCCCCGTGTTACACAATTTCGACAAGAGTAGGCAAGCGACATCATGAACTACTTTTCTCGCAAACCTATCTCCTCCCTGGTTTTGAAACTTTTCTCCAACCGTCATGCGCCATTCGAATCGCCATTTAAAGCTGAACAAAAGTACGTATCGCTTTTTTTTCTAATATTCTTATCTTACTGAGAATACCCATTTTTTCCATTCCAGTGACAAAATCGCCAAAAAATGAGGTCGTATTTTGAGTTTTTGAATACAAAAAGTTTATCTTCAAGCAAAATGGGATATTCGGAATCAGTATGAAAAACTGCATCGAATAATCTATATTTTATCAAAAACTATTTTCCGGATTTTGACGGAAAATAGTTTTTGATAAAATATAGTTATATCTTTTAGCTTAATTTTTGCTATAAACTAGTGATTTATAATTGCTTTCTCTTCTTCGTAGGTACACTTAGGGTTGGTGAAAATAACGATGATGAGGATGAACAACAACAAATTGAGCAACGAATTAGATGAGGACGAATATTAATTGAAAGTAGATCTTTTCCTATCTCATAATGATACACATGGGGACTTTAGCTAGCTAAAACTAAACGAGACTGATTTTTAGTTTTAGATGACGGTGAACCAGAAGAAGCCAATAATGTTACTATTTGTCTTACAAAAATTTTTTTTATCAGCACTTGTACACACCAGTGCGGAGTGATATATTTTTTTTGGCACCGGTGCGAAACTTGAAAATTTCTCTTGGCACTCAGTGTCGACTCCCTACAAAAAAATATTTTATCGGCACTGGTTATACACCGGTGCGCACCAGTGCCGAAGTTTTGTTTTGTCGATTTCTGTCTATATTAACATCACAGTGTACTTTGAATATTTCGAACGTCTTTCTGACATCATCTTTTCCTGCTCATAAGAGAAGTGCCGAGGCAATGCCACACGGCTTTGGCATGTCAGTGTGATACTGATCAGTGCCGCATTCTAATACAAAATTTACAATAGCCACTATAATAAAAAACTAACTAAATTGATTAAATAAATTTCAGTGTGGCACTTTTTGGGAATGAATGAATGTATTTTGACTAAAGGTGTTACATAGCCAGGAAACAGTAAACAAGCAAAAAAAGAAAGTTTCGCTTACATAAGAGGCACTGTTGCCGATAGTGAGAGAGAAAAAATGAATCTGTATAGTGAGAGAAAAAAAGAAAGAACAACAATAGTCTTTATGAGCCGAAAGAACAGCAGAAAGATCAAGAACATACTAAAAATAATTTACATGATTTTTAAGAAGCATTTGAAATAAATTTAAACCGGCTGTGTGTGCTATTGAGGGAGGAAGATCATTCCACTGCTTAGAGGTGAGGGGTAAGAAAGAAGAGGATGAAGCTTTTGTGGAAAAATGTGTAGTGAGAACCGGTATGTCATGTCCAAAACGCATAGATTTCCGATTATGAGAAGGTGTAATGAGGTTAAGATGTGAAAGAGGACTTGTGCCATAGTAAATTTTATGGAAATGAATGAGTTTGAAATAGAGTCTACGATTTTTGAGACAACAAAGTTAATTTGGAATGAAGTGTTATCTGATCGATCGAGTAGTCTTTCATTATAACTCTGGCAGCCAAACATCGTCCAAAATAGACAGATGTGATTTAAATGAACTGTCGTAAAGAATACAAGCATATTCAAGAACCAGCAGAAATATATCGGCACTGGTGCACACTGGTTTTTACCAGTGCCGCACAAGAATTTTTTTTATAGGGTATAACGTTTATATGTTTATTTTTTTTTATTACTTGCGTGTGAACTATGTAAAAAGTTATTTTTCTTTTGCTTATTAATTTTTTGTTAAGTGTTTTTCTAGAGCTAGATATGCCGTTCTTGTTTCTTTGTTGTTACAAAGTATTTCTATAAAAATATTGTAATAAATGTTTAATTCAACTTCATAAAAACATGCAGAAAGCCTACAAGAACGAAAAACGCAAGAGTCATACCGAGTTCACAAGAGAAGAATCTATTCTCAATGCACAAGTCTGAACACTCTTGTCATGAATCAGCCACGTGACTCTTGTCTGAACTGTCAAGGCTGACGATTCCGACAAGAGTCTTTAGGCATCATCTAATCTAACAAGAATAAAATATTTAGATACATTTTGATGCGAGATACTAAAAAACAGCTTTGTGAATATAAGGATGAACGGTGTCCTAATGACTTTTGATGTTCAAAACACTATCTGATGATCTTTGCTGTTTCACTCCCTTGATAAGTAGTTTTAGGGAATTTTTGATATAATATAGGTGACTAGAAAAAACCCGTGGAAAACCACGGACGCACAGAATTTGTATATTTTCTAAAAATGTTTGCGGCAAAATTTTTGAGATTTTTCTTTTCGAGATTTAGCCACCATACCATATTTTTGGCCTTTTCTTATTATTATATTGGCACTTATCGGCTAATTAGCCTAATTAGGATATTTATCTAATTGAAATCTGATCTCGAATTCGGATTGTCCACCCCCCGTGTGACGGCACTCACCGTCATTGACTTCCGCGCTCTCTCCTCGCGCCCGTTCAAGGCATACGATATATCTTGTTTCGACTTCGGTTAGTTACAGTAGATTTCTAACTTTGATCATTCTGATCGGACTTCCTTTTCATCCGATCGTTGAACTCTCCCTCTTTTTTCTCTCACTTGGCTTCTTCCTTGTTCACCGATCTCTCAATACATTGCTCGGTCTTCTCTCAATCTCAGCTCATCCGATCGGAGTAGCGCCTGGACTCGCTTCGTGCTGCTTTTCACCCCGGTTACTCTTTGGTGAAGTTTTAAAGTCGTTTGTGTTTTGGGTTTTACCCAATAGATAGCGCTGTTTAGTGTCTTAGGAGCGTTCCGGACAGAAAGACAGACAGATAGGTCTTGGCTGCTCTTATGTGTATAATTCATTTCTGACATCGGATTCGAGCTCAGCACCCTCGATCACCTTCGGTCAACTCTTATTCGGAAATTCATTTTTCAATAACTGATTTATTAATTATTAACTAATAATAATAATTAATAACTCATTTCTGATATCGGATTCCCCACCCCCAGTTACCCTCTGGTCAAGCTTTATAGTCATTTGCGTTTTGGGTTTTACCCAATACATTGGCACAGTTTAGTGTCTGAGGAGCGTTTCGGACAGAAGGACGGACAGATATGTCTTGGCTATTCTTATGGGTAATTAGAAATTTGCTCTTTTTCTGTATCTGCCTATTTCTTAAGAGTATTTGGCTAGTTAGTTTAAGAAAAGGCATGAAATATTGTTGTGAGGCTAACTTGTTGCGTTATACTGTCGTCGGTGAGATTCCTCTCTTGCAATCCTTCTGATTCAAAGAACTGAAGTCCTTTCCGGTAAATTACTTCTGACATGCCCTAAGTAGATATTCCATGGATAAACCAATCACAAGAGAGAAAAGTAGAAAATTATTTTTTACACGAGAGAGAGAAAATATTCAAAGACATGGCTGAAATAATATTTACTGATGCAGACAGAAGAAAAGCTAAGCAAACCTTTTCTGTAGTTGGGAGATAGATGTCGCCGAAATCAGACGATTTCGATAACAAAAAGAAAGTCGTATACGGCTAATAAAACTTTACAGAATATAGATAATCTATCATGGCGAGTCCAGCAGAAATACTTGCAGCTTTCCTTTGTATCTTTAGAGGGTATCCAGAAAACATTTTGGCTTTTTACTACATTTAGAAACTTTAGATTTAAAAAGTTTTCAGTGCATCCACTATAGTCACACCGATGCAATGAAAAATAATTCTGCTCGGATAAAATTCATTGGTGAATATTTAAAATTTGAGAGAAAATTAAATATGATTCCACTTTCCACTAAAAAAGTACTAGTTAGTAAAGTAGTGATATTTCTCTCAATGAAGATGCTCGATCGATTTAATTCAATTGTGTTTCTCCTTATACCAGTGTACTCTTTCTAGCTATGAAGGATATTGTATATTTCATAAGCAAGTGTACAAAAAAACTTTTCATTTTTAATCCTGTTTACTCATTTCAAAATTATTTTATTAATTAACAACCAACACGCTGTTTGTTTATGAAGAAAGGACGCGAAACGGTTTCTGTAAGAAAACAGCCCAATATGATTTTGAGCGAAAATGACGGGACATACGTTTTCACTTTCCAACACGACCCACGCTTAAAAACGGTTCCTAGTCTCCTTGAAAATGAACTTTCTTCTCATTTTTCGTCACCATTTGAATAATGGTCACTCACTTTGTTCCTCAAAGTTTTCATATGATTTCAGAATCATTTGACAAGAACTCATATACATATAGAGAGAATTCTCTACGCTACAAAACAAGCAAAATATGCTTTCTGAAACTATGCTCATCAGAAGTGGCCGAGCCAGATAATCGGCTCGCAAACTCGCGCTCACGGACTACCTACGGTCTAAACGTCGGTCCTACGGACTAAACTTGGTCTAAACGTCGTTCTGTGAATACCGTTCAGCGTACCCGTTTCTTAAACCACGATGTTTGCGATTTATCTTCATCGCGCTTTTCAATGATTTTGAGACCGAGGTTTCCGTCAATAGAACTGCGGTTCGATGATGTCGCGTTCTTTACCCGACTGGGCGGTTTACCGCGATACCGGAACCGCATTTTTATCCTTTTTTGTCGTCAGGAAGATGTCGTATCAGGTGTGTCGCCAGGAGAGTAATTGCCAGGGATCCCAGATCTTCTGATTTTTGGAACTTTTTCTGCCTCATTTCTGCTCTTTTTTCCGAAAAGGTCTATTGATTTTCTGATTTTGAACTTCTTTTTCTGAGGTCTTTCTGATTTTCTTGCTTTGGATCTGGTATCCCTGGTCATCTCTCGCATTTGTTTCTTACTTAAAACACTTAAATCGGTAAGATATAACATCAGTTTTGATCATTGTATAAACAACCCGAGATGGCTCAATGGAAATATGTTGGACAAGCAAATCAAAGGTAAGGAGTTCGAATCTCATACAACGCATATGAAAGATTAGTGGTTTCAGGTAGGCTAACCGCGTAACAGGATCACCGCAGTGCAATAGGAGCAACAACCGCGGTGTATGGATGTGCTAGAAAATGTGTGTTAGAAAATCGCCATTGATTTTTAGAAAGTCCATATATGAAATCACCGAGGATTTTCTATTTTATAGAAAATCGACATTGATTTTCTATAAATAATTCCCAACAATCTTAAAAATCAAGGGGGATTTTCTATAAAGTTGGAAAATCGGTGAGGATTTTCTGGAAATTTGAAATCCTCAGAGATTTTATAGCCGATTTTCTATAAAATTGAAAATAATTCAAGATTACAGTGTACTGTATAGTAAAAAGAAGAACAGAATAAGAATACAATTCAGAAAAGTTTTAGGATTGATTATGTTTATCTTCTCCATTTATCTGTTGATGCAATAATAGCGACATTAACAACCGATCAGCGACTTTTAATTGGTTCATATCAATGTGAAGAAAAAGTTCAGAGTCACTGAAAAGTGCTTTTTCGTATTCAGCACACTCGATAACCCCAAAAATTTTACATTTTTGGCGAGACGTATTGTCAAAAGTTTAAGAAACCTTTTGAACAAAATGGCGAAAAAAAGTTTCAGTGGTAAAATAGTATTAGTTTCAAAATTTTACTAACCGGGCATCTACGCTGGGTAGAAGGCATTTTATAATGCTTTCAAAGGAGGAAGCAGAGTGGGAATCGTTTTCGGTTTTACAGGGAACCAATCATTGAATCAAAATTAAAGTCATACTTTTTTTCTACTCTTTCTGGATTTGAAACATGCCGCTAATAGTCCGAGAATTATACTTGGAAAACAAGAGGCTATTCTGGTGTATTGAACGTTTGTTATACGTGCCATTTAATACTTAATTGATCTCATTCAAAAATCTCCGATAAATCGATGTTTAGAGAAGACGTTATATACCTGACGGTTCATTGTTAATTTGATCTCAAATAATAGTACGTGATCTGATAAAAAGTATGCTTATTCCATGCAGCGGCGTAACCAGGATTTTTAGTCCAATGGGCAAACTTCTATTGTATCGGAAAAAAACGATGGGCAAAATGGGCAAGGTTTTTGTCGATGGGCCAAAAGATGTGTGGTCCAAAAAGAACACAAAAAAATGAAATGAGATCCTTTTAATTTTTGAATTAGATTCAAATTCAAAACTAAACAAACAATTCTGTCTATAGGCACTCTTACATATATCTTTCTAAGGGTTATACAAAAAAAAACCGCATGGGTATATCTGCTAAGTAAAATTTCAATGGGCAAAAACTTACTAATAAAAATTACAATGGGCAAATCTCCAAATGAAATGGGCAATTGCCCATTTGCCTCCCCCTGGATACGCCGCTGATTCCATGCATTTTTTCAATTTTTCTTGAACACAATGAATAAGACGAAAGCTATAATTATTTAAGCAAAAACTGTACTCTTATTTATTACCCATATTTATTTTTCTACATGGAGTGTGTACGAATAACTGTGACAATCAGAAAAATATGAATACGGGAAATAAAGACTAATATAATTCTTGCTTAGAACTCCCGGCCTATCGAAAAATCGTTAAGGGTAAACCCACCGGAGTTCGAAAATAATTTGTGTTTCAAAATTGGCTTGACATGTCTTTAGATAGTGCACAGTACCTTCTTCAAAACAGCAGCCGTCCAAAGTCTGAAAAAGGTTCCTGCGGCGAGTTATAAATTTTTCAAGTTTTCTTATCTATAATTTTCAGCTCTGTATAGAACAGATACAGCTTTTGTAATGATAAAAGGAAATATAAATAGTTTTGTTCAATATTAAAAGCGTTTTCAATTTCTCCTTCATCCAACAGTATCAAACATTTATTTTAGTCAAGTAGAACAAAGTATAACGATATTCAACCTTAGCCAAAAATAATGAAATAAGTAGCTCGAGAATCGGTAATTAGTAGTAAAGACAACGAATCAAAAGTATAGAGAAGAAGGCTTGTTCATCCTATAGTTCCTAGTTCAAAAGATAAATTAAGTCAGTCATTCCACTTTCTTGTAAACAATGTTTTAAACGATTTTTAGTTGCCAAATATTGCTCTTGTTCTCGCCAAACGCTCAATAATGCATACATCTTAAAAGAAATACAAATAAAATTAGTGCTACTTGTGAAGAGTGCTTACTGTTTGAGTTGGATCATTGTTGTTTTGCACTCTATAGGATTCAATATCATATTCTAGAAACCCAAGACAAAGTGCTAATTTTTGCCAATTTTTGCGTGCGGCATGACCAGCTATTTGATGTATCTGATCATCGCTAACCACATCGCTCATACCATAGTCTTCCTGTAACATAAAAACGCATTCAAGTTTACTTAAATGCGATCTTTCCAGTGGTAACATACCGACATTACCGCGTTTTGGTCGCGTAAATTACTCGCTGATCCTTGAAGACTTGGGAGTATGTTAACCGCATCTAATACATGCGATGGAATAATTTCAAATTTTAATACTTCATCTAATTGATCTGCAGGAAAATGTCGTTGGATACCTGTGATAAATTGTTGTTGAGTAATGTAGCCTGAATCAATTAAAACCTCATTCTAAGTAAACTTAACATACTCAACAAAAAGCGTCTATATACCTTGATTTGTATTATCGATTGTTTGTACAAACTGTTGTGCAATCGCTTTGACATCATTCTGAAAAATATATATTTTTCCACTGAACTTGACTGAAGTGATGAAGTTATCTCTTTTCTACCTCTTTCATTTCGGGATAAACATGTCTGAATAATTTCGTTAATACTGGAGCGGTCAATGGTTCACCATTATTCAAATAATAAAATAATCCTATAGGAAAACAATTGTACAGTTATTAGTTATACTATTTTCTCGCAGAAAGTGCATGCCTGTTAGTTTTATTCTTGAATCGGCAAATTCACACCATTGCATAACACTCAAGAAGCTAGCAAATGATATGCTACCATCGGGATCACGAGGAAAATGCTTAAGTAACTAAACATATGGCGACGTATATGTGTACATAGTCTAGGATTAAAAGAGAAAGCACATACATTTTTGACAAAAATATCTCTGGATAGCTCAGCACTGTCCAAATTTTCAGGATTTAATTTTCGTTTTTCCCCACCAGCCAGCTGTCTAAATCTATTCCAAAGACGTTCTACTTCAACAACAGCCACTAAATAGGTGAGAAAAAAGGCAAGAGTGAAGGTGAAACTGTTCTTCAGCTTTATCTCAACTTGCATCCAGATGCATCGGCATGACTCGTTAACCAATCAGCTCTATTAGGTGAACTCGCATTGATTACTTCAGTGTTTTGTATAACAGGAATTGTACTACCCATCTTTCACAAAAACGTTTTATAGTCATTTTCCATCGGAGAGGTGTTTTAGGTGTTAAGTCATATTTTCATTTGTAGAAGCAACCATTAAAGAAATTTTCTGTACTTGTTGCTATGAGACGAATGCAATAAATTTTTAAGCCAGTTTTGCTTGTCTGTGAGACCTACTTCAGATAACTAGTGCAAAAATATTGATAAAATCGGAATCTTCAGTTGCAGTTAGAAGATTAATTCTCAAGTGCATAACTCAATTACTGCGATCAACAAAAGATTGTAGCTTTACACAAAGAAATTGTGCTGGCATTTTCCGATGTATGAAGTGTTGGAAATCATTGCAGTAATTTAAGCAAGAATAAGTTTATGGAGAAGGTACCAGTGACGAGTCTAAAGTTTCTTCTTAGCACTTGTCTATCCATAGAATACCTCAAATTAATAATTTTTTCTAGCTATCTTTTTTTACATTTGCGGTTTTTATTTCTCGAGCGGCTCAGTAAGTGCAAAGTACTGATTCATTTACTATATGTTTTTTTATTCTTAGTTTTGTTTATTTCATCATTCTTGTGAACTGAACGCTGTTTGTAAAGGATCAAGATCTATGGCAGTATAGACTGACGGTATCAATTCGCTTCAAATTTGTAGCGATTAAAAGATGTTTTTTTGCCAGTCTCCTTCATTTTGAAGGAGTTATTTAAAATAAACGGGCGAAAACAATACTAATACGCACTTTCAACTAATACTGTATTCAAACTAGGATCATTGCTTTCAAATTATTTCGGTTAAATCTTCAGTTTAGACCAAATTGGGTACATATCGATATCTAAAACATAAAAAATTTTGTCCGATTCTATTTTTCTGATATTTCAGAGAGGAAATATCATTCAAAGCTCAAACTTTAGAAGTACTATTTACTCATAACTTGAATAGTTCCATCAAAATTGAAGATAAAATTTTTCATTTTTCTTCTAGGATAACCTACAGTCACTTTTGACCATAGCAGGTGACTATTTTATCTTGATCTCTTTTCAATGAGCAATTTAAGCAAATTGAGTCTACGATTTTACCCACACTGAAAACATCGACAATCAAATTTTAAAGTAGAATCTAATTTTGCTTCCATTAATCCAGTAATGCTGATTTTATGAATTAAGTAAGAGGTATAGATCTTTGCTGTGAAAAGGTTCGTTTTATGTCTCTCATTTTGAGTGTCGTTTGTGTTCCTAACCGATCGGATCGGTTCCTTCAGCGCTTATCTTTTGTCAGATGGTGTGTCTATAGTCCAATAGTGATTATAGCAAGATGAAAACCATGAGCGAGTCCATTAATACATCCAAAAGAAAGAAACAATGTTTTACGATGTTTTCATATTAATCTAGTTTTAAAAATTTTTGCCTTAAGATATTCTTATTTCAATGTTTACCGTCGGAAACAAAATTTCTCTTTTATGATCGCTGATCAAAAGTGCTTTGTCAATGATGATAATAATATTCTTAGAATGATAAAAATGATTTCTATTGTTTCAGCTTTGTCTGAGATAAAGCACAGATAAAGCATTATCTTCGAGATAATTGTTTAACAACTTTTTACTTATATTTTGATTCTATTTTTAGTATAAACTGCCAAGCAAAGTGAAACAACTTAATCTCTCACTAAGCTTACTATATTTTAAATACAGATTGATTTGATATGTGCTATGAACAAGTAATAACATATGTTAAACATTTTAGTTTAAGCGAAATATTACTGAAAGGTGCTTTATTCCATGTAGATATTATGTTCATATTAGAAACTAGAATTGAAAATCAAGATTTATCATGGCTATCAGGCCCACACATTTTGATGAAGACTCAATAGTAAATAAATCCTTTGTTTTATTTTGTAATGAAAATTTCGCAAATTCATCGTATGTTCTAAAATGTCTCATTTTTTATCGGCTCAAATAATTTTTTTTGAGATTGTTGTACTTTGGTTTGGTTATTTATAACTGTGGCAAAACATAAATTGATATTTTCATCATAAATACGATTAAATCACGGAAAATTCATGAACTCTTTTCTTCTATAATTGAATATCAGTGAAATCTCAAAAGACTTTATGATCAGAAGAGGAAGATTTTCTTCGTTAATTTCATGCACACATAACACCGGCTCATCGCAAATATTAAAAAAGAAGAATAAAGTAACTCAATGAACAGGATTAGATTTACGTTCTTTTATCTTGTCTTTTAATTATGTCTCGCTAAAAATAAACGAAACACATTGATAAACAAACGATGTTGAAATCAATCGTAGGTATTAGTGTTACTTATTTCTGAACGCTACATTAGATTTTCCATTAACAAATAGTTATTGAAAAAATCCAGTGTTTAAGAAAAAGATTCAGACATCTTTACTTTGGTTCTATTATAATTCAAGTCTTAATGAGTAAATAATCGAAAATATCTCATAGTCCAACACAAAATCTTTCCGTTGTTCCCCTAATGATATTCTATAAACCTGACAACGATCAGCAGTTTTAGCGAATTTAGCAAAAACTCACATGTAAGTCATGAACTATATTTCTTTTTATCAACATCACAATAAAGTTTTAGCGTGGTAACATAAAGCTTGTTAAAGTTTTCATTATTATTAAAACATACACTTTATTTAATCACTTTATTTAAAAATGACTATTACCGAGTCATGTATAAATCCATTGCTCGGCTCTGCTAAGAATAAAAAGAAAAAGAATCGAATAAAGATGTAAAACGTCCAATCTCTAATGGAAAGGATTTCTTTGGCTTAAAGAGTTGATCTACGATTTTCTTTAATAATTTCTGTGATGATGCTTGTTCATATTCATCGTTCTTAAACTGCGACTCAGATGAACTTTCAATTTGAATAGTTTTTCTAAAAGTATACAAGACTGTGGTTTGATTTTTTGGTGCATACTACCACTTTCTTTACAAACCAACCGTAAATTAGACTTTTTACTCCTTTTTTCTAATTAACCAAGAGATTGTGGTTTGAGCGAGAGATCAGAAGTATTTATTATAGTACATTTTTTCTAAAAGTTAAATAAATGAACTTTGATTAGAAATTCAGATTGATACTGGATATATTCGGATAACGTTACAGACATCGAGCACTTGTTGTATTCAAGAAAAATCTCTTGAATTTTTTCCTCTTACCGTTTCACAGCTAAAAATTTACAATTTGCACGAATGTATAAAAAAGAAGGCATACAGAAACGTTTAATATTTCGAAGAAAATTGAAAATTTTGATGGAAATCACTTTTGATTGAGTACTTTTTCAATTGTTCAAACCACATTTCAAATTACTTCTGGCTATTGTGGTCAGAAAGAAAAATTAAAACATAAAGCGGCTTATACTTTGATATCTACTTTAAATTCATCACAATTGTCTATTTCAAATACCATAATGCGCCAAATGGTCTAACCGTTTTTTCAACTAGTACTTCTACTTTTTTCAATTTTATTCTAAATGCGAAAGTAAATAATTTATAATTTTTGTTATTTTTAATTGTAAACGACTCTTCAATGTCAGAATCACCAATTAAACACGGTTTTAATCCTGGTGATACTGCTCCAAATTTTAGTCTATGGAATACCGAAGAAAAAAAAATTGAATTAGATATATTAACAAAAAACTTTCCTTGTGTTGTTCTTGTATTTTTTCCATTTGCATTCAAAAATACACCACCAAAAATTCTCAGATCAATACGTGATAATCATGAACAATTAGAAAAATTTCATACAAAGATTGTAGGCATTTCAGTTGATACTTTGTGGGCATTGAGAAAATATCGTGAAGAGGAAAAAATTCCGTTTGAACTATTATCAGATTTTAATAAAGTAAGATAGTTTTATATTTTTTCTCTAAAGTCAATCATTTCTTTCTAGAGTGTAGTATTTTCATTCCTAATTAAACATTTGAAGAAGCGAGATTAAAGTCCAATTCTTTGAATCATTGTCACTTTTGTTCTGGAACATTAGATATTCTTTCTCGATTCATTTTATATATTGCATTTTTTCACAATATACAGCGTTTATTATATATTCATTTTTTCATATCTATATTATAACAATAATCTGAAATTATATCTAAAAATTATCATCATCTAAGTGTAATTAAAAATAGATGTTCAATTCTCTAAATAAATTTAAGAAAATCATGTATGGTAATTCAATATCTATCTTTGAAAAATGTTACATTTCATAACTATAGAATGTGGTAAACTGTTTGTTTCAAATCTTAACTAAAAATGAAACATGAAATATAAAACTTCTAATACAATGATAATATCGTGTGCGAAAATACAATAAGTAGTTTAATATTATTATATTCAAAGGACAAATCAATTATTCATCTCGAAATCATTTACTCATATATCTAAAATATGGACATAATAATTCTTTACATGGTAATTAGAAGAATAAAAATGAACGCTATATATGAAACGAATCGAGAAAAGAGAAAAATTTAAGAAAATATATATAAAAATATATATTTTTTTTTTGAGACAAATCGAGATTAAATCAAAACGTTAAAACATCTTTTCTCTTTTTTCTCTTTAAGAATGTAATACAATTATATGATGTTAGTATTGATATGTATTCATTGTTCGGTATGAAAGGCGTTTCATATGATGCCCTGTTTATTATTGGTTCGGGTAATAAAAGAATTATTGAATATCGAAAAGTGATACAGAGTGCAGCAGATAAATTTGATTTTGAAAAAGTTCGATTAATGTGTAAACGGTTTGCTATAGAAGCTGGAGTACATATTCAACTGCCATTAGAAGCAAAAGCCTCACCATTTCCATCACCAATACTTAATATTGATGGTGATGTTTGGAAATCTGACACGCCACTAGAAAGACCAATTAGTAATCAGAAAAGAAAAGCAAAAGTTGAAAAGAAAAAGTGATTAGAATAAGAACTTCTCTTATGTGTGCGAAAAATTTATAAATATAATAAAAAATAATCTTGCGCTTATTCTTGTAAACAACTTTTTACCAATTTTTTTCTATTAGAAAAATAATGCGTAAACTCTTTTCTACATCATAAAACGATCATTACTGTATAAAATTATTATTAAATTACATTTTACACGTAAAACGAAATTTTCTATTTTTTAATTTAATTTCTGTATTTGCACTTAATCGTCCAGAATGTAACGATGATGAATGTTCACAAATAAGAATATTTGATAATTTTGATCTATACCGTTTGAAAAGTCGTCGAATTTCTTGACGAAATGTTTTTCCACTCAAACAATAAACATAAAAATTGAGAGAACAATTGGCTAAAATAATGACAGAAACCCAGTAGGAGAGTAATGCATTGGAAGTACACCAATAGACAATGGTATGTGTCAATGATGAAAAGAAAAATAGACAACTGTGTAAAATAAGTACAATATTCATCCATGATGTTTTTGGACCACTGAAGGCATCTTCAACTTCAACTCGTCTTTTATTTATTGTTTTCGTTGTTGTTATTTTTGTTGTTGTTGTTTTTGTCACATATTTAGTATTTTTTCTAATTGTTGTGGTCGTTGGACGCTTTTTCTTTATAATATGTTTAAATTGACATGTAGCTTTTGAGATTCGAAGAATAATCCCAATGTTAAATGTTGTTACAGCTATAGAAGGTATTAACTCGGAAAATATACAACGGATAGTATAATAATTGAAACCATATGAAACATCTTGAAAATATGCACGCCATTTTGGTGAAATATTTGAATCGAAACTACAATGGGTAGATGTTTTTGCATAAAGTTGATTAAAATCGTCTTTTAAACGGTTATTGTTAGAGATTACTGATGATATAGTAGAAGTTAGGAACAATAATGATTGATTTGAAACATTTGTATTTATTACTGATAATATTCTAAAAAATGTAAACTAAAATAGAAAAAAATCTCGATTTTAAACATCTTAATCGACTTACTTTTCTGATGATAAAGTTATATTAGTTGATTGTGGAATATAGAAGTAAACATTGGGTCCTGTTACAATGAGAATAATAATAAATGAAATAAATGTTAAATAATAATATTTATAAGATATTAACCATGTTCGCTTAATTAGAATACTTTGTAAAATATTTGATACATATATAAATCGTTCATATACCCAGAATACGGTAATCCATGCTGATAATATTCTCAAACATGATGATAAACGATAGAGTTTACAATTTAACCATGAATGAGCAACAGCTATTGACATCCATTTTCGAGTGGATGAATTTAAAAGAATCGAATAACGAAATACACACAATAAATTTAATATAAAACTTGCTAAAGCTAAATGAGAATAAGTTGTATGACGAAATCGACGAGATGAGAAAACAATAAGACCAATGACATTTCCAATTAGACCCAATATAAATAACACAATACACAGACTATCGACCAATATTAACATCGATCAACTGAAATGAAAATAACAACAACAAATTGTTTCGGTTAAATAATTCAATATAGATAAAATGTTGTATTAGCATGATACGTTTAGCAGACAAACATGATCTTGTATTCATTTAATGACGATATACTTTTTGATCTAAAATCTCTAGAATTTTTTATTCTAGATATTTTTAACTCACTAATAATCTCTATTTTTAATAAGATAATTTTTTTAGTAGTATACTCATGTCTATTTCTAACTTACAAAAAAATTTAAAAATCAGATTACGTTTCTATTTAGTATTAGTTTAACTGTAAAACAATTTCTATTATAGATAGCGCACAATAACAACAAAAAAAAAGAGGAAATTTAGAGAGAAAGAGAGAGAAGGGAGGTAGGGAGACAGAGACAGATCTAATGAAAATTACTTTGTTTCCTGTCACATAATATCTATAAATCTTTGACTTTATCATCATTAGCATATTTTTACTACAGACAACATTTAGACATGACTAGTTTCCTGTAATCCTATCTTTAGGAGGAAGATAAAAAATGTCTATAGAAATTTTAAAATTTTTTATTATTAGTTCATATATAGAGAAAATAGAAATTTTTTAACGATAAAAGACAAACATAGATCATCTACACCGACTTCATGAGCCATTTAATAAATCATGCGTGGTCGTTTTAACGTAAGCAAATGGTGTATATTTTCAATTAAAGAAATGTTAGGTATTACCGGTTATCGGAGATAATTATTCGATTCTAGGGGAAATACTGCTATTTTACCATTTTATTCGTTATTTTCTCAATCAGTAAACGGATGCTTTCTTTCTGATGGGAGTATCCTATCCATATTCGCAGCACATACTATTAATAGATTTTATTATATTTTTCTTAATATTGTCGAGTTATACTGTTAGTTTCTCTAACAAATTTTTATTTATAGTGATTTTTTAGATTTTTGATGTGATTATAAGAGAGATGGAGGATTGGGCGATCTGGGAAGGTAGTTGCCTGCAATTGATTGTATTAGAAAGAGAAAATATTTTATTTTAAAAATGAGATCAACTGTGTAATTATGAAGCATGAGATCACATTATACAGCATGATGTTTGGTAAAAAAATTATTGTTAACATTTACCTGTTACTCCCGATATTATTATTGAAAATAAAATACAATAGCAAAAATTAGAGCGAGAAGAGTTTATGTAATACAGTTTTAAATATTACATTGAGAAAAATGATATTCCTCTTCTTTTTCTCTATTTATTTCTATCTCTAGTTTTGTAATAATTCTACTTATTTGCACTTGAAAACATATGAAAATAGAAAAAAGGAGAAAAAAAAGGAGAAAAACTAAATCTTTCTATTTTTGTTTTCAATAAAAGGAGCATCTATCAGGCGACTAAATATATGAGAATGAGGGGTAATAAACGTCTTCAAAGAAATATGACGTGTTCAAAATGTTTTTCTTCAGTTTTTTTCAAAATAAAAAAAGATAAGTTTTCTTCCTTTTCTAACAGAAATGCTAATATAACAGCAACTAATTTGAGAATTCAGTTAACTTTTTGTTTATTAAAATTTAAAATTAAAACGTTTTGCATCATAATATCGTGTTCTTTTTCAAGAGCTCGGAAATTCAATCTGATAAAACTCAAACAAGAAAGTGGTTAGATTCTCTTAAAAATGTATGTAATCCGAGAAATAATATATATGAGAGCGTGTGTGTGTGTGTGTGTGTGTGTGTGTGTGTGTGTGTGTGTGTGTGTGTTTTTGTGTGTGTATTTGAG